AACTGTGTGCTCTTTTTTCTAAACCACATTTTCACTTCACATTCAACTTCTGCGTCATTTGCGAAATGTCTCCCGCCAAGGTGGGTTTTCGGTGGACCAAAAACATAGAAATCGCTAGGGGCAAAGTGGGAGTTGTAAGGTGAATGTTCCAGAAGTTCTTACTCTATATGGTTAATTTTCTGCTGATTTAACCCAGCCGTATGTTGTCAGGCATTGTGGTATTGTCACGAAAGAGAATTAATACTCTAGTCAGAAGGCCTGAACGTTTTATTTGAACTGCATCATAAAGCGTCGATAGAACTTTACAGTATAAATCAGCATACACATTTCTCTATTATAAATTGGCTAAAAACACTCCTTGACAATCCCAGAACACTGCCAGCATAACCTTCCCTGTTGATGGCGTAACCTTGAATTTTTTAAACACAAGGTGAAGAAGGATGTTTCCGTTACACTGAAGCACGTTTTGATTCGGGCTGGTGGTGATGCATCAATGATTCATCCCCAGTAATATTCATGTTCAGCATGTCTTCTCATTTTTCTACGTATCGGCAGAGTAGCTTCTAGGACAGGCCTAATCGCTTGATTTTAAGTTCCTTAGTCAATTATCTGGGTATCCACCCTGCGCATATCTTCTTAAATGTCAATCGATCATGAATTATGTTGTATGCTGAACCATTTGAGCACCACATTTAAGCTGCTACAGAGTCAACCGTTATTCGCCTGTCACCTCTAACCATCTTTTCCACCCGTTGTAGGGATGCATCTGTTGCAATCTCAACAAGAAGTCCAGATCGGACTTAATCAACAATTGTAGAGCGTCCTTAATAAAAAAAAAATGGTGGTGGGGGGGGGGGGGGGGGAGGGGATGGGTTACCTAACTATGAACCGCTTTACGGCATTAACATTTGTCAGCATAAACAGGAAAAAATTCCTTATGAATGTCCTCTGCATGCAGCCCCCCCCCCCCCTCCCCCCCCCCAAAAAAAAAAAAATCACAAAACACGTTGCTCTTTGGGGGTACACTCCGTAAGTACAGTCGCCATTTTGTTTCTGTGTTGCGAATGCGCATGCATCAGGTAGCGCCACCTAACGAACTAAGACACAAAGTTCGATGTTGCTGTCACCTAATGACGTCTTTAGAAACTACCAACTATATTTTCCTGTCATCCCATAACCATTTGTGACTCACTTATTGATTTCCCTACGTATGTAATGATCCCATTTAGGGAAGCATGGTTCCACAAATATAAATGTGGTTATTTGTTTGGTTTATTATCATTACAGTTGTTTCTTCCTTATTATAAAATGTAAGAACTAACTTCTGCTTTCTTCAGTCCTTCAGTCCCAAGTGTGGTTCCATGTGAGAGTCGATGTGTGATTCCATTTGTGGCTCAGTGTTTAGTGACTGTGTGTGGTTCCCAGGGTGGTTCCATGTATGCTTTCATGTGTGGTTCCTGGGTGATTCTGTGTATGGTTCCATGTATGCTTTCAGGTGTGGTTCCTGTGTGATTCCATATACGGTTCCGTGTGTGATTCTATGTATGTTTCTATGTATAGCTCTATCTGCGGTTCCATGTATGGTTCTATGTATGGTTCCATGTGTGGTTCCATGTATGGTTCCATGTGTGGTTCCATGTGTGGTTCCGTGTGTGATTCTATGTATGTTTCTATGTATAGCTCTATCTGCGGTTCCATGTATGGTTCTATGTGTGGTTCCATGTGTGGTTCCATGTATGGTTCCATGTGTGGTTCCATATGTGGTTCCATATGTGGTTCCATATGTGGTTCCGTGTGTGGTTCCATGGTGTGGTTCCATGTGTGGTTCCGTCTGTCCGTCTGTCCCTCTGTCCCTCCCTCCGTCCGGCCGCCCGTCCGTCCGTCTGTCTGCCTGCCTGTCTGTCTGCCTGCCTGTCTCTCATTCTCTTTACGTGCGTGTTGAAGGGTAAGAATGGAGAGGGATACAGGAGGCGAACCTGGTATTTCCTCTTGTTGAGGTATCTAAGGCTGGGTCAAACTGCAGAAAGTGGGGCCAGGAATGCTAACGCGGGAAAACCATGGGGTCTAAGATATGAGAAAACAACCATGCACTGCAAGCAGGGATGCAATGTGTTACCACACTTCACAAGCTAAATTCCCGTTCATATGTAGCCTTTCTCGCAGTGGCGTCTTGTGTATGGGCACAACGAAACTGCTGCACTCTAAATAGTCATTCGATATTATCAATAATATTCAATATTATGTCTTTTCTTTTGTCTTTAGTTTTCTTTTCCATCATATCCAAGCTTAATGTCAGAAGAGGGCTAGAACCAGGCGATAAGCAGTATGAGAGCCTTTTTAAAGATCACTTTTTTAATCACTACTGTGATAGAACGTCTGTGGCTTAGGTGTTACGAACGCCTTCGTAATGCCGGAGTGCCGGATCCGATCCCAGCTGCGGGCCTTATGCATTGCATTGGTTTCGACAGTGGTATCGACAATCTGACTGTCCAGAAAGTAATGGCAAACTACTGAACGTAAATTTGCCTATAAAGCCAACAATAGCCAACAAAAATGCTGGGATTGGTTCTGCAATGTCATGTAAAGGAAACGCAACTAACCTTAACTAACTGCACTAGAAAGAGATGAAATACTGGCATTTTAAAAGATCTAAACATCAAGGATAATAAACAGCATGCCGTCTCTGTAGCCAAAACATCTTGGTCATATTAGACGCCATAGCGTTGGTTCCGACAGTGGTATCAAGAAAGCCGACCGTCCAACAAGCAATGGCAAACTTCTTCTTCTTCTTCTTCTTCTTCTTCTTCTTCTTCTTCTTCTTCTTCTTCTTCTGCCTTTCTTTCCCCAAATGGAGCATAGGCCCTCAACCAACTCACGCCAAGTCGTTCTATCCTTCGCCATTGTATGGAGCTCTCCCCATGTCCTCCCAATCTATTTAACTTCATTCTCCAGCTCTCTTCTCCATGTGTTTTTTGGCCTTCCTTTATTCCTATACCCCTGTGGGTTCCAGTGCAAGACATTCTAGTTATGCTGATCTCTTGTTTTCTCAGTGTGTGTCTTATCCAACGACAGCGTCTTTTCCTCACCTCTTGGTCGACTGAAGCCTGTTTAGTTCTCTCTCAAAGCTCTACATTAGTTATTCTATCCTACCATTTAATTCCCTCTGTTCTGCGCAGGCACCAGTTAATGAATGTCTGTAATTTATTAGTAATTATCTTAGTTGTTCTCCATGTTTCCGCCCCATACAACAGCACAGTAATGTAGATAAAGATGGAGGAACTGACAGAGATATTAAAATAAGAATACAAAAGGCAAGAAGGGCTTTCATAGCACTAGGGAATTTGTGGAGGTCAAAAGAAATTAAAAGAAATACTAAATGGCAAACTACAGGACGTAAATTTGCCTTAAAAAAAAACCCCACAAATTGGGGTTGGTTCTGTAACGTCCTGTAAAGGATACGCAACTAACCTTATCCAAAATGGGGCTCCGAAACGCAGGCGGAGAACACGGTTTTAAATCATGCATAAGCTGCAAACGAGTAAAAATCCCACGGACAGCCAACACTAGTCAATCTACACACGAAGAAACTTATCGCAAACATCAGAAACTGGTAGTAGTAATTTTTGAGTATAGTAATAATAGAAATAATAATAACAAATTACATGTCATTACTGCCAATATTAAACGGAAAGAAAAACAGAAAAACATAGTGGGAGAAGATTTTTGACAGTCTTTTGTTGTGACAAGGATAGGTGTCAGCACATGAAATGATACAGGCAATTGACACGACCCGCAGTCGCAGAAAGGGTACACCCAGGGCAAGAGACAAAGATTTTTAAAGATAATTACAACAGTCACGGTGGCCACGGTGCTAAACATATTGTTGGAATCACAATTTGTTGACAGAGATAATCCCCTACGCCAATCGGCAAGGTGCTTGATGATGAGCTAACACTAAATTTCTACCCCCCCCCCTTTTTTTTTCCCCCTCCCCAATCAGACAGGTTGCAGTAAACTGTCCTCTTTGTCATTTTGCCTAACTGTTCTTTTCTATTGTTAGTAAAGACGGGGTGTGTTCAAGACCTATTGCAGCTGACTTTAAGTATGTGTTGTTTCATTAATGGAACGGTAAGTTATGGCTAAACATAATCTCCAATGCCAGTCGGCAAGGCATTTGTTTACGACCGAAACTGTCTTTACCCGTTTACTATGAACTGTCTTTTTTGTTGATCAAGTTGCGTAACAACGATTTTTCCCGCCGACTCGGCCAACAGCCGTGTAACTCGACCTGGGTTGGTTACTCAGCCCACAATCAGCCATTGGGATTCCCGAAGCGAAGAGAGCGTATATGTCACCGCTGTAAACAACACAGCGGCAGAATTGAATATTGACATAGTTTGTTTGTCTAAATCTGCAAGGCCATCTTTGTCGCATAGTAGATGGTAAACTACCTCGAGGTACTCTATTTCTGTGTTCTATGAATCTGTGAAGTTATGGCTAGTTGCAATAGCAAAACAGTGATTATTTGGTCTCTGGTGTTTCTATTACTAGGAATATCCTTACTGGTTGCTAGTAAGCAAGGCGGTAAGCAGACACGGTTGTCTCCGTTTAGAAATATCATTTCTATGGCTGTGTCCGATTCTTCTGGCTTAACAAAAGCTTATGAGGACAGGTTAGATCGTGGATATACAGTGCTACAAGGTGCCAATACTGAGGAACAGAATCCTTCTTTGGGTATAGTAAATTTGCCGTTCAGAAATTCAACAGAAACTAGGTTTGCTACAAATATGGCAAGGGCAAGCCAGCGTAACCTGCAGCAGGGAGTTGACAATATTCCATCAAAATATTCTCAAAAGCCGGTATCTGGGTCACCATACACAAATGGTATGCAGTTAGAAGACAATGAGCATGTACACACCGGGGAAGCATCGACACAAGAAGAGCACGCAAGTGGGTTTCAGAATTCGGTTAGAGAGTACAACAATGTAAAACTCAGGAATATGACAAGAAAAGAACTACAGAAGATTGAAGAAAAGTCAAAATCCTTGATACAAAGACTGTGTGACACCAGCCCTCGCAGCCCAAGAGAATTATGCTATAATCAGGGATCGTCAAAATGTTACTGCAAAGGAGGTCTGGCTGACTGTTCTGGAAAATTGCATGTGCCTAATATATCTTACGCTCCCAGGTTCAAACCCAACATCAAATGCCTCATTTTGGCTCATAACAACATCAGAGGCTTGACTGACAGCTTCTTTGCCAATGTTTCCCAGTTTGTTGCCATCGATCTGAGTTCCAACAAACTGCAAACGATCTCCAGCCAAACATTTCGTCGTTTTACCGATCTTAAATATCTCATTCTCAACGACAACGTCCTTGGTCTGAAAAATCTGTACCCAGTCTTTAATTACCCTCCCAGTCTGAGACTAGATATTGTCGGCCTGGATCTTCCAGCGCTACCGGTCAATTACTTTGATAATTGTTCAGTTATTCACACATCACAGATCTACATGGATAGTAATTACATGCCAGTCCTTGACCTTAACGTTTTCGCTAAGCTAGATAAACTTGAGTACTTAAGTGTTACTTTTTCCAACATTGGAAAAGTCATTTCCGCTCCTCTGTGTAATCTCAAAGTGTTATATTTAGATAACAACACTATTTCAGCATTCCCAGAAACTTGCCAGAATGCAATCAACATTAACAACTCAAATTTTGACTCTAAAAGCGCATGTGCAAATTCAGAAAAAAGGGGGTATTCCGTGAAAACACAAGCTATGCAATTAAGGAGTTTAGCGATGAAAGAACTGCATTGTTTCCACGTTTAACTCAACTCTATTTGGGACATAATGAAATCGTTTCACTGCCTCAGAAAGATCAATTCTGTCTTTCAAAGGTTGTCATCTTAAACCTTCAAACTAACAATATATCGGAAATTTCTGAAGGTGCATTTACTTCTCTACGCTCTCTGAAAGCTCTTCACTTGGACAGAATGAATAACGGCATCACTAAGATTGGATCATCAGCTTTTAACATACCTGCCCTAACAAGTCTGTACTTGTCCAGGAACAGAATACAATTTGCCAGTAAAGACGTCAGCACCAAAATGCTGCAGGGATGTACTAAAGTACATGTACTCGCCATTGACCACAATAGTTTAAACGGCATGACCGATGATATGTTCGAGGAGTTCCTGAATTACACCCCGTCTTTAAAATACATTTTCATGTCATCCACCGAAATGCAAATTATACCAGTGACAGCCTTTTCCAGGTTGCAGAAGCTAGAGAAGCTGTTTATATACGTCAACGCCATCACAGAAATCCCACCTGGAGCCTTTGATAACATGCTGTCCCTGCGCTACCTATACATGGATGAGAACCACATTTCCACTCTCAAAGAAAACGCCTTTTCACCCGAGACACGACTTCGCTTGCAAGCGATCAACCTTAGCAAAAATCCCTACCTCTGCGACTGTGACTTACTCTGGTTCCGATCTTGGGCTTTGGAAGCTGGACCAAAACAGTTCATGGATTTTAACTACTATCTATGTTCAAACATGCCCAACACATCTGTCCAAAGCTACAGCTTGAGTAAACAAGCTTGCCTGTTCAGTCGTCAGGCTTACATTCTATTCACGGTGTGTTTGTCGATCCTGTTCGTGTTCTTTCTTGCGTTCGCTGTGTTGTACCGATACAGATGGGATATCCGCCTGCTGATGTATGAAAGGCGAGCTTCTCGCAGGATCGCCACCGATGCACCAGGTGGTTTTCGCTACGACCTCTTGTGGTTTACTGTAACGATGACTTCGAATGGGTGAACCAGCTGTTACTGCCTGTGCTTGAGGTGGGTTGTGTGTGTTTTTTTTTGTACTTGTATAGTTTTATCAATATATTTAACTGTGGTGGAATTAACAATGAAACTATCCGGCAAACTGTGGGAACGATACCTTGTACTAGCTTCATCGGGAAACAGCAGATCAAGTGGTTTGGCCATCTCGTTTAAATGCAGCAAGATCAAAAACCATCACAAGCACTACATCTCAGAAGATCAGCTACAAGAGCAAGAGGACGGCTGCGGAATATATCGATTGACAACATTAAAGACACTCTACGCCTTCACGGCATGACAATAGCCAGTGGCAGCCAATGTGCACTAGAACGCAAATTATTACTCCCCACGTCGCTTAACGGCAGAGGTGATTTATTATTATGATGATGATTTAACTGTGAACTCACAATTATGTACAGTAAGTTCCAGATGTTGTGCCCAACTTTAAGAATCCGTAACTCAGTAACTGTTTGGCATAAATTTTTGACATTTGGCAGGTAATCTGTTAATAAAAATAATGTCCTTGTAGGGAAAGAATTAAAATGTAAACGAACATCTCCATTTTAGAGGACAAAGAACTAAGATCCCCTAACAAGCGTGTCGTGGGGGAGGGGGACTAGTTAAACCTGTTTCCTTTAGAGTCGAAGTGCATCTGCCTGATAGGCAAGGAACCAACAGTCTGCGTATAATTAAGCTCTTTCATTTCAATCGACGCCTGTGTATCCCTGAACAAAAGTAAAGGTGACTCCACGCACAGTGGACTTCTGTAATGATTCAAGCCATTGTCTTCTCACCAAACCTGCCTGAACCTTCCGGATCATACTCATTGGATCACTGAGTATGCATACCCGGGTGTAGTTTTGTGTTTCGACGCCGTTATTTTCATACTGTGATGATTTGTGCGCGCTTCCTACTGTTTGGTATAAAGTTTATGGGCTCTCGCGGTTTTGGTTTGAGGGAAAACTGTAAAAGAGGATTAAGGGACTTTTGCCTCGACTACAAGTAGTCTGACTACGGAGGTGATTGCGGTACCAAAAGCAATGATGTGTCTAGAGACACGGCATTTTCGTCATGCGTGCTTTCTAAGTAATTCCATGAGCATTCTTAAGAAGATCGAAACGGGATGGATTCGAAGAAAATGATTGGTTATGAACTTGTCCGATGTGCAGTGAGTATAATTTGTCGATTAACTAACTAAATAGCTAACTGTTCACTCGCTCCTAAAGGTTCATGCCATGAAACAAGCGGTAGAACATATTAATAACACCATCTTCTCCCCAAGACAGCCTAGCATACTACATCACAACATCTAGCATGAGGATGGAGGCGGAGACTTAACTGCAGCTCTCAGGTGGCTAGAGAAGAAGATGCAGACACATGTCGTAATTGTAACAGACTCTGAAGGCAAGCTGAAAAAGGTGAAGACAGGGATGCTTCGAGCAGAGTGGCACGCTTCACTGGGAAGGTCACGGGTAGTGAGCATACTTTGGATCTTCTCTCTAGATGATGCCGGCGTAGTGGGTAATGAACAGGCAAACAGATTGGCTGGATCTGCACCACTGGGTGGTGAATTGATACATGACAAGGCAGATGTGGTCAAGGCTCTTTGGGAACAAGTAACAGAATCAGTAAAGAAAGAAGATATTATGGCCTAGAGAGAATAAGCACCTGGGTGTAGCCAGAGGGTCTGGAAAGGCGAGACGGATATATATCCAGATTGTGACCGGTACTATCAGTATTGGAACTCTGCGCTGGTTGCTCAAGATGAGGACACAAAGTGTCACCATGCGGATAAGGATCATCCGTGGAGAGGTCCCGGAAACCCCGTTCAGTCGCTAGGCCATATTTCAGGCCCGGCTATATTTAGGGCCCCCAGCAAAAGCCAGGGAGAGGCTTTAGAATAACTAAAAATTGCATCCCACAAAGGGATGAAGAGATAGACAAAAAGCCCAACTTTGCATCCGTCACAGGTTCTGAGTCCCATTTAGCAACCAAAAAGTAGGATAATTACAATTCAATCAAACTGACTTGCGCACTCGCCCGATTCCATCTTAGCCCAGTGGCAGGACAATGTCCAGACAACTGGATATTAACCTGGGTGCGGTGGATGACACAGAGTCTGGGGTGCCCTGCCTTGCTGGAAGCGCTCCAAAAAGCCTGCCGGTAATTTTCCGTCAACATAATCCGCAGTCTAGTCTTTACGTATAAAGTAAAGGCATAAAAGCTTCTCTGCCAGTCATCCTTCGCCAAAACAACACGATGTAGCAGAACTCTCTCAGTTTTATAGTAAAGTAAGTAAAGGTCCCTTTTCTTTAGGCGTTTTGGGAATATAGGGCTAGACCTCTATTTTTATAGACCAATCGGCACTTGATGGGTGATGTGGTCAGCACTCCCCGGCCGCTTTTACTTCCCAGGACTGCGCCTGGTACCCACTCAAGGCTGGGTCGACCTTCTCTCAGTTTTATGCAGATATAATATAATCTGTTGTCTGCTATAAAGCTTCACATCGGCGACCGGTTCACCGGTAGACGACTTCGTCGCCAGTCGGGACAGTAATTAGGCCTGTCTCCTTTGATTGCATCAACACTGCAGAAGTCCTTTTCGGGACTCTTGGTGGCGTACAGTGCTAAGCTATTTTATGTGGCGCACATAACTCAGTCACAATTATAACCTAAAGCTCTCCATTCGGGGAAGCCGGTTGAACGTGACGCTTTTCATTTCAAACAAAGCACCTACCACCTGTTAGGTCTAGGTTGAAACATCAAATCAACATCATGGCGCAAAGTGCTCCTTTCTACTTCTAACTCAAGCCTGAGCCAGAAGGACAATGGAGTGCTGGGTAATTTTATGCCAAGCCGGATGCCATGGCTGTATTCATCGATGACTAACAAGAATGGGTTCCCCCCCCCCCTCCCCCCTCTCCCCCCACTTACTTGTCTGAGTTCTGTGTGTGTGTGGCTTGGTGGGTGCGGGTGGCTGGGTGGGTGCGGGGGGAGGGGTGTGAATAGAGGCCGCGTAATAACTTAGGTTTGTATTTGTGCCTAATAGCTTAATCTCGCTATCTGTATCACACACATACATCTCTTTCTCGTAGTGTGTGTTTGTTAATTTAGACTGGGGCAATCGCCTTAGTTTTGTAAGCTTGCTTTTGAAATTATCCCAGTACTATATGTGTCAGGGCGGTTATGTCTGTGTGTCTGTATGTGTGTGTTTGGGTGTACGTAAGGGAACACACTCTGTCGATTTTGGAAAGAAGTGCACAGAGAGTTACAGAGAGAGTACCAGACCAAGTGGTGTATTCTGCTCATTGATTGTTTGTTTGTGTCAGTACCAGACTAAGTGGTGTATCCTGCTCATTGATTGTTTGTTTGTGTCAGTGCCAGACCGAGTGGTGTATCCTGCTCATTGATTGTTTGTTTGTGTCTATACCAGACCAAGTGGTGTATCCTGTTCATTGATTGTTTGTTTGTGTCTGTATCTGACCAAGTGGTGTATCCTGCTCATTGATTTTTTTGTTTGTGTCTGTACCAGACCAAGTGGTGTATCTTGCTCATTGATTGTTTGTTTGTGTCTGTATCAGACCAATTGGTGTATTCTGCTCATTGATTGTTTGTTGTGTCTGTACCAGACCAAGTGGTGTATCCTGCTCATTGATTGTTTGTTGTGTCTGTACCAGACCGAGCGATGTATCCTGCTAATCGGTTGTTTGTTGTGTCTGTACCAGACAAAGTGGTGTATCCTGCTAATTGATTGTTTGTTGTGTTTGTACCAGACCGAGAGGTGTATCCTGCTAATTTACTGTTTGTTGTGTCTGTACCAGAACAAGTGGTGTATTCTGCTCATTGATTGTTTGTTTGTGTCTGTACCAGACCGAGTGGTGTATCCTGCTCATTGATTGTTTGTTTGCGTCTGTACCAGACCGAGTGGTGTATCCTGCTCATTGATTGCTTGTTTGTGTCTGTACCAGACCAAGTGTTGTATTCTGCTCATCGATTGTTTGTTTGTGTCTATACTAGACCAAATGATGTATCCTGCTCATTCATTGTTTGTTGTGTCTGTACCAGACTAAGTGGTGTATCCTACTCATTGATAGTTTGTTGCGACTATAGAATATCAAATGGTATATTCAACTCATAACTTTTCCTGTCTCTACCAGAACAAATGGCGCCTACAGACGTGCATTCATCAGCGAGACTTTATAGCTGGAGGCTTCATTATCGACAACATCGTGGAGGCCATGAACGCCAGCAGACGCATCCTTGTGGTCGTCAGCTCCAGGTTCAGCCAAAGCAATTGGTGCAATTTTGAGCTGCAGATCATCCAGTCGTGAGTATCTTCTCCGCTAGATCTTCTTGTCAGTGTCGTGATCAACCCGTCGTCGTCACCATCAACGCTATCGATTGATTGATTGGCACCTTTCCGTTTGTCCAGACGATCGGTTTTTATTGCGCTATGAGGAGGCATGAGACTCACAGCCCATGGTGATGGCGAGTGTGACTAGCAAGACCCGCTCGAGGTCAAAAAAAGTCCTCCATAATGATAGCTTTGGATTTACGGACCATTGTTGTCAAGATTTGTGCTTAATCCGTTTCTTTTTAGAGGCTCAGCTCTCATCCTTTATGACATCATTTGTTCTTTCACTCTCATTCCTTTCTTGACATGCCCTCTCCACACAACACGGTCCATGGCATTTTGTTCTCATAATTCCACTTCAATACCTGTATCATTCATGTCCCGCTTGCACATATCTTTATACCGCAGTAGAGGCCATCATTGTCATTATTATCATCACCATCGTCATCAGTTTCATCGTCTTAGCCACCATCATCATCACTATCTGTCAAGGCGATTGTCTGTAGTCAACAGAAAAAGTCGGCACCACCTGAAATAGAAGGCACCACCTGAAATAGAAGGCGGCGCACAAGCATGGTTCAGCAACGCCACTCGGCATAGACTAACTCAATCCTATCCCCAACGCCACTCGGCATGGACTAACTCAATCCTACCCCCAACGCCACTCAGCATGGACTAACTCAATCCAACCCCCAACGCCACTCTACATAGACTAACTCAATCCAACCCCGAACGCCACTCAGCATGGACTCACTCAATCTCTACAACGCCCCCCCCCCCCCTTTTTTTTTTTTAAAGATGCTATCAAAAGGTTTGACGACCAAGGTAACTCCAAAAGTCACATCATGGATGGAAGACCCAAGAGAGAATCCCAGATACCCAGTTTGACACCCCTCCACAGAGAAGTTATAACTAAGCATTCGTAACTGCTACATGGCTTAGAGGTCAGTGAATGCGGTTAACAGTTTCGTGATCCTCGAGTACTAGAATTTGTTCCCGTTTTTAAGGGAAAAAGAAATCGTACATCTCGTGGTTTTCGGACAATGGTAAGAGAGTCTCATCGTGGAAGCGACTAGTGCCTCACCAGCTAATGTTCTCAAAGATAACAGTGTTACACTGTTGTCAACCTTCACTGTGGAGACGGCACAGAATTAACTGCCACATCATGCTCAGTGTGGTGCTACTAATATGGTGTACTTTGCAGCCAAGTGCGAGTCAGGATTTCGCTGGGGCTATCTGTTTGTTGAAGCCTATATTAAAAAAATCACCACTTGCGAGATGAGATGCCTGAGAAAAGCAGCCAACCTATCCATCTGAGATCGAGTGTTCAAAGATGCTGTCATACAGATTGTTGGAAAGACATACTACATGTACTACATACATCGAGAAACAACAGATCAAATGGTTTGGCCATCTCGTTAGAATGCAGCAAGATCAAATACCATCACAGGCACTACATCCCAGAAGATCAGATACAAGTCAAGAGGACGACCGCAAAAAATGGATCGACAACATTAAAAACGCTCTACGCCCTCACGCCATGACAATAGACAGTGGAAGCCAATGTGCACTGGATCGCAGATTATCCCTCCCCACTGCGCTCAACGGCTTAAGTGGTTTATGATGATGCTGATGATAATGATCATCTGTTGTCCGCTCTGGGCTGATACCTGAGGAAAGTTTGACCACCCATGTAAATTCAAGTGTAGCAGTTTTGGATGGCAAACCAACAGGGTCAACGACAGAGGCCCCGTTTAACTTACGATGAAGTTATAATTACAGCCTTAACGGTTAAACTAAGCTTATGGGATGTTATCACAATCGACGTCACTGCACTTTGGGCCTTCTTACGCGTGCTCAGTCCTCCGATGCAGCAAGCCACTCGAAAATACATCTGCTGATCATTCCCATGAGGAGCTGGGTATAATGTCTTCTATCTCGGCATCGAAGGCGATTTAGACGTGATTTATCATGCTTTACTACCATGTCATGCAGTCGGGTTAGTGTCAGCAAGCAATTTAAGCTGCACTTCTGTGGAGATGGAAGGCGAGGACCGAGGGCGGGTGCCTAGACTACAAAATAGATAAGAGTAATAATATTTAAAACAAAGTTTTCCCGTAATGAATTTTAATAATGCGGACACAAACATTACATTGCACTTTTTGGCCAGGCATATTTCACTGTATCTTGTCAGGTTCGTTAATACAGAGTTAAAACAATATAAAAGGAAAAAAAACCAACTCAAATGAGACTGTTTGTTACCATGCATCATGTTTGTCTGCTCACCGGAAGTTCACTGTAGTCACATGACTTACAATGACAACTTCAAATTTACAAAAAATTCCGTCTGCTTACAAAGGTGTGGGTTGTTGATTTTTATTGTTAAAGCTTCAGCCATTCCTAACAGTCGCCTGTTCGGTGTATGGTAAACCACACAGGAAAGCACTGTCCTCGTCAAAAAACAATAATGTTATTAGCAGCTGCGAGTGAAACATCTCGGTCCCAGAAACCCCCTTCAACCCATATATTAGGGCTTCGGCAATAGCCAGGGTATGGCATTAAAATAACAAAATTGCGTTCAACATTGGGACGCAGTATTTTTACCTGTTGAACCAATTCTCTCTCTCTCTCTCTCTCTTTCTCTAATCTTATAATCTCTCTGACGGCTCTTAATGTCTGTCTCTCTCTCTCTCTTAATTTACCACACCAGGACCTCACACAAGCGACTAACACCTGGCGACACAAAGTGCCACCATGTGGATGAGGATCACCCTTAGAGAGGTCCCAGAAATGTTTGTGTATTTAGACATATTTATTAAGGCTACATTCTGTGACACTCGTAAATTGTTAGGGTGGGGGCTTGTTTAACGAAAAATGCATAACTTAAGTTTCACTGTCGTAATGAATGACACTATGATAAATAATTTTAAAATGGTTTGAAATGAACCTACGAATCAAATACCTTTCCTTAAATATTTGTGTATTCTTAAAAACTTAAGGCCCGTCATGGTAAATTTAGTTGTGCACCTTATGGGACATATACACGCCGTGGGGGGGGGGGGGTTCGATAACTGGCACTATGTTATGAGCTTGCGATTTTTGCTGTCTAGAGTGTTCTTCTATCTTTCTACTTGTTTATGTGAGTGCCGACCAAAACATTTTCTGACTTAATAATATATAATATTTGACTGACTTTTCCCTCTTTACCCCACTAGGAATGACGTATAAACACCCGAACCTACCACAAAATGCCATAAATGGTTTGAGGATTCTAGACAAAGCATTAAGGTCTACTGTGTTCGTAAATTGTTACTGAGTTTGTTTTTAGACCTATGCTTCCTTAATTTAAATTTATGTAACCTATGATGCCATTTTAATGGTTTGAAATGAATTATGTCCAAATTCCATAGTTGTGGATTTCAAACTGTACGATAGACATGGCCAATGAGACACCTTTTTTGGGGGGTGCCTAGTTGACCATGTTCTTAGTGCACTTGCTGTCTAGGGTGTTCTTCTAGCTTTCTACTTCTTTCTATGAGTGCCAGTCGATACGTTTTCTGTAACTTTATAAAAATAAAACTAGGTGAAGGTCTTTGTGATAATATACGACAGAATGACAGCAAAGGACACTTTTTATTATTTTGAAAAATTATTTTTATCTTACACTTGTTTTCTGTCTCCAGCCACATCATCACCCACGACCTTCCATCTCTGCTGGTCATAGTTCTGGACAACATCGAGCCCCGTGACATGAGGGCACCCATGCTAGCTCTATACAACACCACCTGCTGCTTGGAATGGCCTACAGAAACCAGGGGAATCAACACGTTCTGGAAACGTCTGGAGAAAAGCTTGGTTACCGTTCTTGACAACCGATTGCATGACACCAGCGTTATGGTTGTTGATGACCGACCGCTTGGTTCCCTCCGGGATGCTTCCTGAAGGATTACTACCCTGAGATAATAAGAGCCTCTATGTGGATGGCAGACCAACAGGGTAGATCCTAGATACGACGTTCATTCTCTAAAGAAGTTAAAATTATAGCACCTAAGGAGTGACCTTCTTCTTTGATGCTGATGCTGCTACTGTCCCACTGCTTATATCGTGAAGCGCGCACAGAGGAGTTGCATGTAGTTTTCTTTCTGTCTGCTAGTTGTGTAGCTTGTGTTAATGTCATATTGCGTTTCTGTAGTTTTTTTTTTTTTTTATTCCTTACTTCCCCCGTTTTTTTCTTGGTCAGTCTCGTGCCTTGTAGCCTGCTGTTATCGTGTAGTAAGTGGGAGCTGCGTGGTTTCGAGGGCTGGTGTCCGCCTCGAGTGCTAGAGGTTCCGCGTTCAATCCCCGGCATGGGCTAGGATTTTCTTACGTGGACTTGGACTTCTAGTAATTCCCCTGGTCTCTTGGTAGTGAGATCGGACGCCCTTAGCAGTTGAAATTCGAAAAGAGTAGCTAAACGGCGCTGACCGGGCAAAATTTGGAGAAAAAATCTAGCCAAACTATTTCAGGATCCTCGCCGGTGCTACAGAGCCTATGCACTGTGCTGAGCTTCTTCGGACTCAAGACTTGAGTTAAGAAGAAGAACGGAGCATTTATAGGTTACTACCTGTGTGCCATGATGTTGATCCGTTGTTCAAAACCTCTAATGTAGAACGCTCTAGCTGGTGGCTAATATGGTGCCATTCTGATCAGATGACTAAACCATTTGATTTCTTCATGTTCCATGAAATCATTCACCGATACTGTGCCTACTATATTCTTCTTAGTTCTTCACTGGCGAATCTGTCCCTTCTAGTTTTTCCCGCGGCATTAGTTCTTCACTGGCGAATCTGTCCCTTCTAGTTTTTCCCGCGGCATTAGTTCTTCACTGGCGAATCTGTCCCTTCTAGTTTTTCCCGCGGCATTTCTTATAGCCCTATCTCGCATGTTGTAATTGTGCACTTATTTCTAGGATTGTCAATGTCTGGCATTCATAGCATAAAGTTGGTACGAATAGCGCGTTTTTCAGCTGCTTTTTTTGTGTGTGCTTGTTGATACTGTAAGATGAGAAATATTGACATCTTAAAAAATCTGAACATCAAGGAAGATGGGCTAATAAACAGCATCCTTTCTCGAAAGCTGAAATATTTTGGTCATATTAAGCGCCACGACGGATTGCAAAAAATTATAGCAGAAGGCATGGTGCCAGGAAGGAGGGGCAGGGGCCGACCGACACGAAGAAGGGCACAGGATATAAGTGACTCCTTGAGTGTGAAAGTGCACGAGGCGGGAGAACTGGCGAGAGACCGAGTTTCTTTCAGGCAGACTGTGATGAGAGCGACGTTCTTCAAAGGACCTGCTACATGATGATGATGATGATGTTGATATTGTAATGAATTAAAAGGGGCGCTGTTTTGTAATTTATACTGCTAGCCTTCTGTTTTATGTTTTCTCTGTCCAAATCTCCATCCTCTGTGAATACACTGCCCAGGTACTTACACTCCTTAGATACTAGATACCCTGTTCAATCTCTAAAAAGGTTAAAATTAGAACACCTGTAAAGGATACAGCAGCCCAGCGTGACCTGCAGTAGTGAGCGAGTGAGTGAGGATGTGTTGACTGATGTATGGTTGCAGTAGTGAGCGAGTGAGTGAGGATGTGTTGACTGATGTATGGTTGCAGTAGTGAGCGAGTGAGTGAGGATGTGTTGACTGATGTATGGTTGCAGTAGTGAGCGAGTGAGTGAGGATGTGTTGACTGATGTATGGTTGCAGTAGTGAGCGAGTGAGTGAGGATGTGTTGACTGATGTATGGTTGCAGTAGTGAGCGAGTGAGTGAGGATGTGTTGACTGATGTATGGTTGCAGTAGTGAGCGAGTGAGTGAGGATGTGTTGACTGATGTATGGTTGCAGTAGTGAGCGAGTGAGTGAAGATGTGTTGACTGATGTATGGTTGCAGTAGTGAGCGAGTGAGTGAGGATGTGTTGACTGATGTATGGTTGCAGTAGTGAGCGAGTGAGTGAGGATGTGTTGACTGATGTATGGTTGCAGTAGTTAGCGACTGAGTGAGGATGTGTTGACTGATGTATGGTTGCAGTAGTGAGCGAGTGAGTGAGGATGTGTTGACTGATGTATGGTTGCAGTAGTGAGCGAGTGAGTGAGGATGTGTTGACTGATGTATGGTTGCAGTAGTGAGCGAGTGAGTGAGGATGTGTTGACTGATGTATGGTGAAACTATGGGGGTTACTGCAGTCAAGCTTATACAATGAATTCCAGAGAAATTTGACTGAAAAGCTCAACAAAATGGGAAAGAGGAAAACGTGCACAAAACAACTTAACGTTTCGGCCGGGCAGCCTTTTTCAAACATAAGTGAAATACACAAACGAGGAATGGAGAGTATGTAGATCTCTAAGGGGTAACGTGAGCGACGTTTAAAAAAAATTATGATACGGAATAAATGAAATAAAATAAACTAAACGATGGCTAAAGAATTTAGTCACAATACTGGGAATAAAAGAAATGCATGTGTTAATGATACATTAATGATACTGATAAGAAATAGAATAAAGTAATAATGTGAAATAAAATAAAATAATTAACATTTAAAATGTGATAAGATTAGAACTATTTAGATAAAGGTATGTTGGATATTGATACCACTTGGACTAAGAACGCCAAGACTGTGGATAAGGCGATTTTCCCAAGCGAGGCGGGTAGTATGATCGCCAGAGCAAGATTTTAATGCTGTGACAGATATGTCATTTTTACCGATGTGGTCAGGGCTATTAAAATGAAGAGGGGTTGGTTTGAGTGTCTTCTTGTCGATATCGGAGAGGTGTTCCCGGAAACGATCAGCTAGACTCCTGCCAGTCTCCCCAATGTATGCCTTGCTGCATCGTTTGCAGATAATTGCATAAATAACATAGCGGGATTCGCAAGTAAAAGGTTCCCTAATTTGAAAAGAACCATTAGGGAAACTGACCGAAGAAGTCTGGACAACGAAAGGACATGTCTTGCAGGTGCTGCGTGAGCACTGAGTAGTCCCAAAAGGAAGTGCTGTGTGGATCGGTGGGAGTCGGCTTCGGACAAGTATGTCTTTAAGGTTGCGGTCTTGTCTGTAAACGTTGGCGAGTGAGTGAGGACGTGTTGACTGATGTATGGTTGTAGTGGTAAGCGAGTGAGTTAGGACGTGTTGACTGATGTATGGTTGCAGTAGTGAGCGAGTGAGTGAGGATGTGTTGACTGATGTATGGTTGCAGTAGTGAGCGAGTGAGTTAGGACATGTTGACTGATGTATGGTTGCAGTAGTAAGCGAGTGAGTGAGGACGTGTTGACTGATGTATCGTTGCAGTAGTGAGCGAATGACTGAGGATGTGTTGACTGATGTATGGTTGCAGTAGTGAGCGAGTGAGTGAGGACGTGTTGACTGATGTATGGTTACAGTAGTGAGCGAGTTAGTGAGGACGTGTTGACTGATGTATGGTTGCAGTAGTGAGCGAGTTAGTGAGGATGTGTTGACTGATATATGGTTGCAGTAGTAAGCGAGTGGGTGATGACGTGTTGACTGATGTATGGTTGCAGTAGTGAGCGAGTGAGTGAGGACGTGTTGACTGATGTATGGTTGCAGTAGTGAGTGAGTGAGGACGTGTTGGTTTATGTATGGTTGCAGTAGTGAGCGAGTGACGACATGTTGACTAATGTATGCTTGCACTAGTGAGTGAGTGAGTGAGGACGTTTTGACTGATGTATGGTTGCAGATCTGGGACCATTATGCATATGAAAAGGAGGGAGGGGGAAATAATGATTAAAAACAATGATAAAAACACAGTTGAGAAATGTGTATTTGTATGAGAGGGAGAGGAGCGGGAGGGGGAGACAAAGGTTTAGGGGCAATTAATAAAACAAAGTTGGGAAATGTGTGTGTGTGTGTGTGTGTGTGTGAAAGTTATATTGTCAGAATACTTCATATTATTGTAAATAAAGATACATTAAAGTTAATAAATGATTAAATAAATAAATAAACTGTTGTTATTTATGTTCTAAGAGAGAGAGATAGAGAGAGAGAGAGAGAGAGAGAGAGAGAGAGAGAGAGAGAGAGAGAGAGAGAGATGCACACATACACACAGAGAAAGTGAGAAACAGATAGAAAGATTGAGACGGTGATAGCGACAGATACTAACAAAATGATGCAGGATAAAAGATAAAGATAGTGGGAAAAAAAGAGACAGACATAGAGAAAGGCATGCACTGTCAACATATCTAAGACACTGTAGCCTGTTTAAAAATTATATATGTACATAAGTTGAACAACATTTTCCCTGGTTTTAAGCATCTGTGAAAACAACAAATTGGAAATATATTAAGGAAGTTAAATGTGTAATAGCTTCAGCAAAATTATTTCACACCAGACGCATATTTTCGAGAACATATCTTTTGTCAAGTGTGACAAGAACCAGAGCTGTTTGGAGTTATGTAGAGTCAGTCAATCCTGGAGAGAAACATATCTTGTGAAACTGCCCAAAAAATGTGTTCAATAGAAGTGCGAAAACTACTGAGGAATTATGTCGCTGTCAGTTGCTGGAAAAGAATATTAAGTAAAATTATTTAGGAAAGACTGAAAGGTGCAATTGATAAAACGCTAAGAGATTAACAGGCAGGTTTTCGGCCAAACAGATCCTGTACTGACCAGATAACCACATTACGTATAATAATAGAGCAAAGCATTGAATTGAATTCACCACTTTACATTAGATTTGTAGACTATGGCAAACTGTTGACACCACTGATAGTGATTTCTCTGGACATTATTGGGGCACTATGGAATCCCACAGAAAATTATTAACTTAATAAAGGCAACATTTAAAGACATGAAATGTCGAGTGCTTTATGGGGGAAAGCTAACAGATACTTTTGAAATAAAAACAGGTGTGCGACAGGCATGTCTTTTGTCGCCACTCCTAGATTTA